AGCGCGGACAGTGCACCCCGGTCAGGCTCACACTGTTGATGTATCTGGCAATAGATTTCCTATTCACAACGCGCTGCTGGGAGACAGTGAGTTGGTTGTAGCCCTTGCTTGGGGCCTCTGGTGGTCTCTTGGGCTATATTTACAAATAAGCTTAGGGGAAAATGAAGTAAACTTTTGCAAGCTGTTTTGTTAGCAAATCTGAAGGAAGCACAACCTACTTGGGAGAATCTTATCAGCATGATGGGGGTGGCAAGCTAGTTGTATCACTGCCAGCTTGACATCGTGGTAAACAGCTAAGTCTTTTAAGTCTCTTTATATATTTGAGTATGTCTGATTTTGCTTTGTGAAATCCAGCCCTTAGTCATGTGAAAATTTTATAGTGGAGCCATCAGCAAAGGACTTTTTTGTGTGTGTCTCTGGTAGACAGATAAATGGCAATTGTTAAGTGTCCTCACAGTCTTTAGATCAGTTCAAGTAGGCCATAGATTATTTTAATTCAAAATAATTATTTCTGTTGAGGGTATCTTTGCTCTATTTAAAGTGACCTTGTATAGGAATGCATTTTCACATAAGCTTGCATTAATTTTACGAAGCTGGTGTTATTGCCTTGGTGAAACACTTGTCTTTCATTTTTTCCCTATTTATGAGATGAAACAATAACTGCTTTTACCTCACAGAGTTGTTTCTGTTTGTACACGCACACACAGACGCGCACACCCTTCAAATACACTAAAATTTTGCTCGTGTGGTTGCCCTCTCTGAATTAGTAAATTAGTGGATGTTTCTAAATTATGATTTCTATCTTTTGTCTAATTTTTTGTTTTGAAAAAAATATTTTTATTTTTGATCTTCATAGTTTCAGGCTTATGCAAGACAAAATATAAGGGCTGAATGGTGCTGCCACTTCTTATGCTTGCAGAGAGAGGAAATGATCAATCTCTTCCTCCTCAGAGTTTTTTTAATGACTTTTTTAAAGCAAAAAATCCTAGTATTAGACTTATATAATAAAGGGTAGCTTGTTTTTTGCTCAAAGGAACCTTTTTAATTATGTACAAAATTACTACGCCTGTGTTAGATCTAAACAAAGGTCTCTAGTTCTGTTGTACAGATAGCAGTGAGTGGCTTTACATCAGAATGTACGGTAAGTGGTTGAGGACAGTTACTGATAAATGAGCCGGTATAAATTAGAGAGGCAATGTGTTTAGTTTTACTCAGAGGCTTAATTAGTGAATGGCCTAGATCCAGAGCAAGTGCTAATGAACAGATCACACCTGGAAGCAGATCTATACTTCAGAGCAGCCCGTGTTGCCAGAAGTGCCCATCTTGTAGGCCTCATCCCAGCATTAGGCCTGTTGCTGTTTCAGGAGTGGATGTCAGTATGAACACGCATCTCAAAGCGGTGAAGATGACGCTGAAGAACAGGGAGCCTGTGCAACTGGAGACGCTGAGCATTCGAGGGAATAACATTCGCTACTTCATCCTGCCGGACAGCTTGCCTCTGGATACCTTGCTAGTGGATGTGGAACCAAAAGTCAAGTCCAAGAAGAGAGAAGCAGGTTAGTTTGTGATTTCCTGGCCTCTTTTCTTTGTTCTACACTATGCAGCAGTGGTTTTGGCTCACTTTGCATCAGTGTGACTATGCAGTTGTCCTGTAAAATGTCTGAGTATCTTAATTTCTGCATTTTGCAGCTAGTTCTTCCATATTTGATGGCTTGATGCTGATATTGCTAAGTCTGCCTTGCCTGCCTTCTTAGCATCTATAAAATCTCTTTTTGTGTGAAATGATACGCCTATAGCTTGTCGTATGTTTGTGTAAAAAATGCCAATATTTCTAATCTTGAAGAAGTTTTAGTCTACCACATTTTCAGAGGTGACACCAAAAAGACAGTTTCCTCTTCTCAGCATGTCTGCTGTGTTTCTGTACTTTATTTGGGGAACTTCATATAGCCTAGTAAGAAAGTATGGTATGACCTCTTGCACATAGCTGGTATATTGCTTGGTAGTGGGTAAGAATTAACTGCAGGGGAGCTGAATGGGAGGGAATTCAGGATTGCAGTGAATTGCTCTTATCCTGTGAGAAGTTTCCCAGCATTGCACTATATGTGCTCTTCCTGGGAACTGTATTCAGTTTTTCTTAGAAGGCTGTTGAGCAAAATCCTTTCCTTACAAACACAACAGTGTAGAGAGTACTTCAGTTTCAGTCCCTGCTATTAAAACTTGAGCACCCTGTAAAACCCAGAAAATCTGTAGAAGGGTGTTTGCAGAGTGTAAATTTTGCATAGTGCTTGATCTTGGTGTTTCTGTTTCTTTCTTTTAAGTGAAAGCTAATTGTGCTCTAAAATAATATTTTCCTACTTCTCCAGTAATTGGTGCTGGAGTATTTGGATGTGGCTCTGCAGGCTTTAAGCCATGTATACATTGCAGTTTGGGCAGAGGTGGTGGTGTCACCTCGCTGACACGGTGTGAGGCACTTTCCAAAGTGCTAGTTGTTGTGGCCATGGTCTTTATCAAGTGCAAGTGTGAAGCTCCTGGAAGTGTTTTGTCCCTCTCATATCCATTAAAAATAAACTGTCCACAGGGTAAAACTGGGTCGTGGTTGAGCTGCTCTCTTCTGAACCTCACTTCTTGCACCTTGGTTGTGCTGAGGCTCTTGTTGCTCTTTACTTTCATCTGCAAGTGCTCTAGGAATCACAAGGTTAATGTGTGATTTCTTCTTGGCAAATTAAAATGTGGATGGGAGGCAGGCCCTTCAACTTTTGCAAGCCCTACACTGACAAGCTTGCTTGAAATCAACCAGTAATTTCAAAAGTTCTTAGAGGGAGCTGGCATACTGATGGCACTGGGCCCATTTCCATATGAAATGGGGGTAAAATGACACCCCATCATCATATGGAACATCCAATCTCCAGCGGTCCCTTGTGACCTAAACTGCTCTGTGGTTCTCTCTGCGTTTTACTGCTCTCTGATATAGTAGTATCTAGAAGGAGGACAGAGCCAAGACTTGGTCTGATAATCACTTGGAAAATGAGTAGAGGCATCTCTGAAAACAGCAGGAGCTGTTTGGTGCTGGGAAATGCGACTGTTTCATGCAGGTAAATGAAAGAGCGTTCTTGAAAATCTAACAGTATATTGAAATGTGCATCTCCCTTTCTCCATGTGCTAAAAACCCCACAATATGAGCTGTGGGAATACATCTGTTGTGATGAATAGTGAACGAAATATTGTGTGCAGGAATGTCTTGCATAGTTGTCTTCTTTCTCTTGATAAAACCTAGTTTTTCAGAAATCAGAAAAGGGGAATCAGTGCTCTGTCAAACTATCAACTGCTTGGAAAGAGCCACCTGGGCTGCTGTTTCCCCTTGTCATCTTGAATGAAGCTGAACATAAACCATAGCCTGGGAAAGTTATTGATGGAAAAAACTTAATACAAAATATAAAATTACTGCCTGAAATTCACTGACAATTACCAGACTTCATATCTGACTTCCTGCCTACCTGTGATAAGACAGAGTTGTTTGTGCTCGCTACGGAACAGTTTAGTCAAAACTGAGATGTTTCTTTTGTTTTATTTGTGCAGTTGCTGGAAGAGGCCGTGGCCGAGGCCGTGGGAGAGGCAGAGGTCGCGGCAGAGGAAGAGGAGGTCCCAGGCGATAACTTCTCACTGCAAGTCCTCTTACCACATTCTGGACAATTTCGGAGAGTTTTTGTACAGGTCTTGTTTACGGTGTCCATTTTTAATAAACTGAAATATGAAAATGTTGTCTTTCTTTTGTTAGCTAGGCCTGGAAGGGGCGGCCTGTTTTACTCCTAGAGGCCATTTCAGGGTGAGCATGTCCTGCTGGCACTGGGTTAGAGCCCAGGCACCCCCCAGGGGCTGGAGAATCTGTTACTCTTTGCCCCAAGCTGGGACCTTGGCGGGCTGTAATAGTGCATGTTTGAAATGAGCCCCTCTCCTGTAAGGCAACTGGCATCTTCTAATCACCTAATGAAGACACCCTATTAAGAACCACTGTCCTGTGAATGTGTCTAATATTGTTGTTCAGAGTGACCTTTTTAAAGTTCATAGATAGAATTTTACTGTTTTCTATTATGTGAACCTCAAAAACTTACTATGTTACTTTCTTTGTTAAAAAAATACATAAGGAAGTTTATCAGTGCTATGAAACTGCTGATTTGTTGCATCTTGGGGTAAAAATTAAAAACCTCCTTGGGGAGGAACTTCACTAAAGCTGGTTATGTGGCGTATGCTGCTCCTGTTTGAGCCTGGCTTGTAAAGAAGCTGTATCACAGATCAGAAACATATCACAGATACTTCTAACATTGCACCCCTGAAAACATGAAGCACACGATTAGATACTGGAACTGGACATTTACTTCTTTGGGGAATGAGAATTTTTGCAGTTTATATATAACTGCTTTGCTGACACAAATATGTAGGAAGCCGAAGTATTTATCTCGGATACCTTCCCACCAGTTTTCCTTTTGCAGGAAAGGAATTACTATGTTCACAATGTAAAACTCCAACAGATTAAATAGAGATGTCATCCAAAACAGCTTGCGTGTCAAGTTTGACTTTGAATGCTGAGGACACCGGTACTTGGGTGATGGAAGACACTTGGCTCGGTGCTCGTGTTCCCACGTAGGCTGCGCTACAGGCTGGCAGAGAGCACCTAAATGTTACATGATTAGCCAGGGTGCTGGTTAACTTGTGCTAAGTGGCATTTTGTGAGCTGCCCTTCTGCTGTGTGTTTCGTCCTACAGAGGCCATCGGAAAGCTTCGTTTGTTACAGAAGAGCTTGTTTTTTTCTGTTTTGGTGGGGGGGTGGTTTCTTTTTTCCTGACTGGTTTTGGGGCCTCTCAAGAGCGCTCCGGTGAATGCAGTGTCTGAGGCTCTCGGCTCTACCAGCAGCTGCTGCTACGAGTACGGGTTGCTGCAGTGGCCTCGGCGCCGCGGGAGGGAGCCCGCCGTCCCCTCGGCCTCACGCCACCGCGGCCGGGCGCGCGCTCTCCCTCCGCAGCCACCTCCACAGGAGCGTCAGCAGAGCCCCCAGGGGGATGCACATGGTGGAGGCCGCTACGAGCATCCCGATGACAGCCAGCGCATAGCCCGGGTAGTCCTTGGTCACCAGCTGCCCCTGCAGGTGAGACATGAGCGTTAGCGCGCGCGGGCCCTCACCGAGCTCCTCGCACAGGTTTCGGAAGGAAGGGAGAAGCGCACGTGCTTTGTGGGCTGGTGGTGCTGGACAAGCATGTACGGGAGGTGCTTGGGAATGTGCCCTAGCAGGCAGGGTGGTGAGTGAAGGGCTTACGGTTGGACTCGATGATCTTGAAGGGCTTTTCCAGCTATAATGATTCTATGACTGTCCTTAAAGCTGCTCTGCAGCCTCCCCAGCATAAGCTTGGTTACAGCACCTTGCTAGAGGTGGATTTGCATGCTGCAGATACAGGGGTTTTATCCTTCCTGCAGCTTCAGTGCACTGTAGGAGAGCCACATTTTGGCTGCCTCTCTCCCCTTAATGAGCTCGCTGGGCACTGACCTTGCCACAGGCAATTCCCATCACGCTCCTGGCAGCGGGATGGGCCCCTGCTGGTACCCAGTCAGTGACCCCGGACCTCTACAGGCACCCAAATAGGTGATGACAGGAGGTAAACAGGGCTTTTCTTTTTTTTTTTTTTTTTCCTATGTGCAAGAAACGTTTCCACAAAAGCTTATGAAACTAGTAATTATTTATCCAGTAATAATTCCTCTGCAAAAAAAAAATCACTTTGGCGCTTCTACAGAATTATTTTGGCCATGAAGAAAAATGTAACTGGGAGATATGGTTGGTGAAAACAGTTTGTGCTATTCCAGCAGCTACTGCACTGTTTTAAAATACCTCTTATTTTATTCAAAATGCTGGTTTTTGGAACGAAATGATTTTGGTTAAAGGGCATTTTTAAGTTTTTTTTTTAAAGTCATCACTTATAACTTTTAAACTTTTTTTTTGTTTAAAGACATCAATTTATAAGAACTAGGAAATGGCATTAGCTCCAGCTGCAGCCTTGGTAAAGGCAGTTTGGTGGAGCAGTGTAGTTAGAAAGGAACATTGTGTGTCCTTGCAGGATTTTCTAAAAGTTTCTTTAACACACAAACAAACCAAAGCCCCAGTGCTGTTTTACCTGTGTGGCATCCCACGCTTGGTATTGCAGTGTTCCTGTGAGGATATAGTCCGTGATGTAAAATATAAATAGGCTTATAATTAGCAAAGGACTAGCAAAAGCCCACATAACTTTCCAATACCAGCTTGGCTTATGTCCAATCATTGTGTGAAGATCTTTCTCAAATCTGTGATTAAAAAGAAAAGCAGAAAAAAAGAAAGCATGTGTTCTTGAGAGCAGCTCCCGCTCAGTCAGCACCTTGATCTCCGTGGCTTGACAACCTCCTCTAGGGTTAAATAAGGCAGGTGGAGGGTGTTTGACCAGGGGGGAGGCATGAGCAGAAAGAGGCAGTATCTGAAAGGCTGTCTGAAAGGGAGTGAAAACCAGCAGGGCTTGCAACAGGATCCCCTATTCCATAGGTAGAGTTATATATGGTAGAAGAGCCCCCACAGACTTCGCCTTAGGCAAGGTCAGAGCCTTGTTGGTTATGGAGGCTGCTGAAGAGCTGGGCTGAAACAGCATGAGGACTCGTGCTGAGGCGGCGTGAGGACCTCGCGCTGAGGCAGTATGAGGACCTCGTGCTGAGGTGGCATGAGGGCTCGCGCTGAAGCGGCGTGAGGACCTCACCCTGAGGCAGTATGAGGACCTCGTGCTGAGGTGGTGTGAGGGCTCGCACTGAAGCGGCATGAGGACTCGTGTTGAAGCTGCGTGAGGACCTCACCCTGAGGCGGCGACAGGACTCATGCTGCCCGCCCTCGCCGAGGGGAGGCCTCCTCGTCGCGGCCCTCATGCTGCCCCCAGGAGCTCAACCTGGAGGCAACCTGGAGCTTCTGAATGCGCCTAGCGCCTAAGAGCAACGCAGGTGGTTGTACGCGCCCATTGTGAACAGACTCGCAAGCGTTAAAAACACATTAAATGTTAAAACTTCCTTTAGGCTGCCCGCGCGCGCAAGCACAGCCTCCCTGCCTGGCGCTGGCCGCGCTCTGCAGCGCTGCTGGGCTCGTATGTGTCCTTGCAAAAGGAGAGGCTGAGGTTTGGCAGGAGATGCTCTTTAGGCCGAAGAGATAGAGCGAGCAGGGAACAGCATGTCCCGCTCATTAGTGCTCCCCTGCCTGCGCAGAGGGTATTGGCGGGTGGCAAATTAGAAAATAACGGCCAAAACTAGCAGCTGGGGGCTTTTATCCTTGTGTTAAGGACAAGTAATCCCTAAACTAAGATTGTAGGAGGTAGCACCTCTTTGGGGGCTTCCAAAGTGTCAGGAAAAGGGTAAAAAAAAAAAATAGAAAAGTAGTAATCCAAAGTGGTATTTTCACTCCTGCTGCTGTCCAGCTTGACCTATGGTTGCATCCCCCTTCTGCTTACAATCACGCTGTAACGAAAGGGGGTTTCCAGCTCATACCTTCTTATCCCGTAAACGTAGCACACAGCAATGGTTTCCACCAGCACGATGAGCAGCAGCGAGAGGGTGGCTGCGTAGTCGTTGAATATGTCAAACCAGTAATTCCCAGCCTCCATGGTGAAAATCAGGCCAATGACGCAGTTAACGAAGCACACGAGACCTGCATGGATAGCACAGAGAGGCTCTCGTGGCACCTGGGCAGTGCGTGCGCATGAAACGTCTTACTGAGACTAGAAGGATAGCGGCACTTCTGTGGCTTTCCGACAGGGTAATAGAGTTAGTTATTAATCAAGCTACTGGCGTGATGACTGCTGCAGAAGCAGCCAGGCTGCAGGAAGGCCCTTTGCAGCGCTCCGCATTAAGTGCTGGTATTGGCTGGACCTGGCACCCTGAAGTCTTGGAAGGTCTCTTGCATCTCGCTCACAGCCACCTTTAAAACATTGTTGCTCTGCGTGATACTTCCCTATGTAGCTCTGTCAGCACTGGGGTCCAGTGGTCAGAGCTTGAGACATACCCAATAAATCACAGAATCACAGAACGGTTGAGGTTGGAAAGAACCCCTGGAGATCATCTAGTTCGACGCCCTGCTCAAGCAGGGACACCTAGAGCATGTGGCACAGGGTCACATCCGGCCGGGTTTCTAATATCTTCAGAGAAGGAGACTCCACAGCCTCCCTGTGCAACCTGGTCCTGTGCTCTGTCACCCTCACAGTTAAAAAGTTTTCCCTCAAATTCAGGCAGAACTTCCTGTGCTTCAGGTTGTGGCCATTGCATCTTGTCCTCTTGCCGGGCACCACTGCAAACAGCCCAGCCCTGGAGTCTTGACCCCTTCACTTCACGTATTTGTATACATAGATAAGATCCCCTCTCAGTATTCTCTTCTCCAGGCCCGGCTCTCTGTTTTTCCTCATAAGAGAGATGCTCCAGTCCCCTGATCATCTTCATAGCTCTATGATGGACTCTTTCCAGTAGCTCCGTGTCCCTCTCCTGGGGAGCCCAGAACTGCCCCCAATACTCCAGGTGCGGCCTCACCAGAGCTGAGCAGAGGGGGTAGATCCCCTCCCTCGACCTGCTGGCAACGCTCCTCCTGATGCAGACCAGGATCCCACAGGCCACCTTGGCCACAAGGGCACACTTCTGCCTTGTGGTCAGTCTGTTGTCAACCAGGACTCCCAAATCCCTCTCTGCGGAGCTGCTTTCCAGTAGGTTAACTCCAAGCCTGTCCTGGTGCCTGGGGATATTCCTCCCTAAAGCATCTCCACTATGTTTTAGTATTTAGCCACATGGCAGCAAGCACAACATAGTTTGCCCTTATTCCAGAAAATTTCTCAAGAGCAGGCAAGCACTTGTGGCAGCATATTTGAAAATCCCTACTCTGCAGGAGGACGAAGCGGGACCTTCAAAGACACCAGAGCTTGTATGTGCGTGTTCTCACTTTGCCTGGCTCATGCTGCTGCATGGTGTCTGCTCACCTGAGACCACCTCCTTGGACAGGTGGGTGGCAATGAACCTGCTGTCGGTCAGCGGCGTGAGGATTGCAGCCGTATTTCCCAGCATGCTCCCTATGCCCAGCATCAGGAGCATGAAGAAGTAGAGCACCGAATACAGCTGCGGCACCTCCATGTTCTTGATTGCTTCGGAATAGACGATGAACGCGAGTCCTGTCCCCTGGACAGCCTGGCAGCAGGAGAGAGTTACGGTCAGTGCTTCCCTCAGTGACCCACAATTTTATGGTAAGGAATCATTTCTACGGGGGAGACTGAAATTCTTCCCAACTTCAATCCCTTTTAGTTGGGGAGATTTTGATCTCTCTTCCTTATTGCAGTATTTGTGTTCAGTAGGGCATTAACAGTCAACAGTTTTAGCAAAATCAAGGCGACCTTTTTTTCCCTATGTTGACTAGGATCCTACTCTTCAAGGAGCTCTACTGATTTCAGCAGGGCTGCCTAGGGCTGAAGTTTTCCTCAGCTTGAACAGCGACATTAGAGGCTGATCCTCCATCATGGCAATGCAAACGTGCCCTGGTGGTGCTGCACAACAGCGCCAAGTGAGATCTTTGCTGGTTTATTGAAAATACACAGAAACCGACAGATCTGCTTGTAGCAAAAAGCTTGGGCCCCAAACCCGTGCAACCTTCCCTGGCCCTCAGCTGTAATCCAGCAGTAATCCAGCCTCTGGGCTCCCCTGGGGACCCGGCAGCAATGGCTGCAGCGGGGGTACATTCCCCAGCAGGAGCCCCAGGGGCCTTGGTCAGAGGGGGAGCTGCTGGCGGCCTCCCTCCACGGGGGCGCCTCCATCCGGGAGCCGTGAGGCAGTAGTGCGCCGCGCACGCAGCCTGCCGAGGGCCCCGGGGCAGGCGCGACGCAGGCCGCTCACCGTGTCCAGCTCCGCTTCCAGGCTGCAGTTCCTGAGCTGCGGCAGCAGCTCCGCGTACTGCTGCGGGTGGGCGGCCTGGAGGTGGGCTCGCACGGCACCCAGGTTGTCCGCTGTCAAGGAGCCTTCCTCCAGGTCAAAAGCGTTTGTCAGCAGCAGGATCACCCTGGGGAGAGACAAGGAGCGTAGTATCTCTCGGTGCATGGGGGCAGCATCTTCTAATCATCTGCCCTTTCCCTGCTTATCTGGCAGCAGCTTATGGCAGGGAAACGAAAATGAGTTAAACCCCTGCTCTTACTTGTTCATGCAGCTTTCGTAGTTGAAGGTTGCCTTGAAGCCATAGATGGAGAACGTGACGATGCTGGCGAAGATGGAGGTGGTGCTGTTGATGAGCGAGACCACGATGGCGTGCCGCTCGCAGTTGTTGCTCTGCTCGTTGTAGCTGGCGAAGGCGATGAGGCTGCCGAAGCCCAGGCCCAGCGAGAAGAAGATCTGCGTGGCCGCACTGATCCACGCCTTGGGATTCGCCAGCTGCTCCAGCTGCAAGGTCGCATGGCGCCCGTCAAGCCGGGAGCCCGTCCGCTCACGCCCACATTGTGCATTAGCACTATTTTTTTTTCCAAAGGACGCAGGCATTCAGGAGGTACTATAAATTTGTTAATTTTTTCCTTACCTTTGGTGTAAACATGTAAATGAGCCCATTTACAGCCCCGTGGAGCGTTAACCCTCTTATCAGGTATATGATAAGAACGCAGTAGGGCAAGGAAGCAGTCACATATACAACCTGCCGAAAGGAAAGTGGACACTGAAGACAATTTGTCAGACCATGTACTGATGCAAAGAATACACAAGAGCATCTCTGGCTACATACCTGCTACAGCTTTCTGTTTTCATTTACTTCACCTGAAACAGTAGCATTATTTTTTGCTATCTTACACTAATCTTTAAATGCATATTTTCAGTGAATTTAAGATTGCGGTTTACGTTTAGATTCCAGTTCTAAAGAAACAAGTTTTACTGATACTAAAAACCTGTGGTAAAGCTCCTAGAGTCTTCTACTTGAGTTGAGAAATAGTAACTTCAAACGTTTGTGGTGTTTACAACCTATGTTACACAGCATCTAGTAGAGGAAAATTGGTTTGAAGCTTCTTGAGAAGAAATAACCAGTTGGGTCTCACCATCTGTTCAGAGCAAAAGCAAAGCAGAGCTCCTCAGCAAGTGACCCAAATCAAATTGGAAGGAAGAAAAATTAATTCAAGTGTAGAAGAGACTCTAACTGGCTGTAACCCAGCTAGAAGGGTAGAAAAGGAAATTTTTTCAGCTTTGATCACACTTCTAACTTTGAACCTGAATTTTTATTCTGCACGTTAGAACATGCCAAGAAAGGGAGAATCTTGTTGATGCCCCTTTGCGTCGACCTCAACGAATTTTCCCCTCCTGCTCTACCAAGCTAATGAGAAGAGAATCTGACCAGCAACTATTAGACAGCCCTTGGTTCTGCACCGATTCCCAGCAGAGGAAGAGCCCCTGAGAAGGGAAAGCGGTTCATCCAGAGCGCAACTCCCGCCTGGCTCGTGCCCGACACCGGCACAGGCCGACCCCCTGGGCACTTCCCAACGTGGCTCAGCAGCCACGGCGCGGGGCTGCGTGGCGCCTCCGGCGGGGCTCACCTTGCCCGTGGACTCGGTGCCGCGCAGGATGCAGAGGTAGACGACGAGCCAGGCCAGCGTGAGGCACAGTGCCTGCTCCCACTGCAGCGCCCCGCTGGCCTCCATCGACGGCGCGATGTTGAGCGTCCGCCGGTACCAGAAGTACTGCGTGGGCGACGTGCGCGCGCACTCCGCCTCGTAGCCCGTGCGGTTGCTGTTCAGCGGGCAGCTGGCCCAGGGCAGGGGGTCCTGCCAGGAGACGCGGGGCGCGCGGAGGAGACAGGGCCGGAGCCGCTGCCTTACCCAGGCTGTGCCACCCTCTCCCGCACGTTCAACCCTCTCCCCCAGGGCCCACCCTCTCCCCAGGGCCTCTCCCCCGGGATGGCTGAGCCCTCTGCCCTGGCATGGGGCTTGGGGTGTCCCCTCTGACCCCCGGGACCAACTCTCTCCCCTGACACTACCAACTCTCCCCTGGGTTGGAGCCTCTGCCCTGGGAAGAACACTCTCCCTCTTGGATAACCAACCTTCTCCCTCTGGTCTGTTGACCCTCTCCTTCAAGGACAACCCTTCTCCCCTGGGGCCCTTTCCCTAGGAGATGACTCTCTTCCCAGGACTGCCGACCTCCTCCCCCCGCAGGAGACGACCCCTCTCCCTTGCATCGGCCAACCCTCTCCCCCGGGAGCTGCCCACCCACCCACCTGGAAGGAGTGGAAGAGGTACCAGAAGGCCCAGGCATTTATGACGTTGTAGTACATGGAGAGGAAGAAGGACACCACGACGCTGGCGACGCCTGCAGCGAGGAGAGAGCTGCTCATCCAGCTGCCCTCCGTTTCCCCGAATCGCAGCCCCATGCCATGATCTTCCCCCTTGAATTCCCAAGGGATTTAAGCTCTCACAGCCCCAGATAGCGATGGCCATGGCCAGCTCTGGTGCACAGGGCAACTTCCTACTGCCAAAATGCCCTCTTCCTTCAGGGCTATCCTGAACTGGATGCTGTACATCAGCCCCTGATGGTTGAAATTCCCTTTGTTTATTTATTCATTCATTCATTCATTCATTCATTGTGTAAGGAAACGAGATGATCTGGGCCATGCAATGACTCCCTGGCGTAGCTCAGAGCAGGCCTCTCAGCTTCCTCCTCCAAGCAGCAAAACGTCCCTGCTCCCCCGGCTCTCAGGCCCCGCGGCCGCAGACGTACCGACCCCGCAGAGGTAGGGGCTGATCATCTTCCAGGCGCCGATGCTGCCGCGCCGCATGCGCTGCCCCACGGCCAGC